TCCTCTTGTAAAAACTCATTATTATGATCAAAATCAAATCTGAATCAGTCTTGCAATCAAAAAGCATATTATAATTTAGAGTCCTGCATCATCTTTTAACTGCGCGTAATCCTTCTTAGTAAAATCTAACATTGCATTAACTTAAAATCTAAATTATTCATATACAAAAAATCAGTATTACACGCTGATTCAGTCAATCTGTGAAAAGATGAACTCCATACTGAAGACAAATAAGTTAAAATCTATAATATTGATATGCTAAAATCCCTGACTTTTTTCATCCGTTATATGGAGGTGGACAATCTGATATAAACTCAATTGCTAGTAACTTGACCACCAGAACTCCCATCTTTTCTGTGTAATGGTAATCATTTTTCCAGTTGATCTTGATCTTGATCAAGCAAAAATTTAACACTGACTTTGGAACTGCCTAATAGCTTATCTCGATTTCTGAGTACATTTTTATCCAGTACCCACATGTTGACTTTATCGCCCGTTGTATAAATGTTAAATGAAAACGGTCCATCTATTGATCGATTTAACGTCAAGGGATCGAATAAATCGAAATGAAAGTTACATGTTCTTTAAAGAGAATAACATAAGAAACAAGCATTTTTCTCAAAAGATAAACCGCATAAATAGTTTTCTCTTTAGAAGAAAATTTATCTAAATATCGTAACTTTATAATATTCAAAGCAAAATTATAATTTAGGACTATTTTTTCGAAACCTTTCAAGTTAATATATTCATATTTATTATGATTAAAAATAATTAGTGATAATAATGGATACCAATCATTATGTTATCACTGCAGGTGATAGTGATATCGAAATACATACGAGAAACATTTCAGAAGCAAAAGCTGTGAAGGTTGTCAAATCAAGTGCCGTATCAAACGGTATTGCGTTTGGAACGACGTTTCGTGTATCCGAAAATGTTTCAGTATATAGAAGAATGTGTGAAGACGAAGTGAACTCAGTTATTAATAGTAGTGCTTTGGATGCTCGACAAAAATACAAATGGGTTACAGAAAGTTTAAATAAAGCGTTAAAATTTCAAAATAATGCTATGCCTGCCCCTGTTGGGGAATTAGAGAAAATATTAAAAACGAACGTAAACAAAGAATTTTATAGAGATTTCAGAAAGGAGCTTATACTTCAATTTATATGTAGTCAACGTACTAAAAGTGTATTTCACCACGACGGTATTAAATCTGGTCGTTTTTAAAGTCAACAACTATTTCTTTATGTAATTTAGCCGATTCGTGGGGAGGAGCAACAAATGGGGCTGCTTTAGGCAGCATTGTGCCTGGTATTGGAACTATAGTTGGCAGTATACTGGACGGTATTATTTTAGTTTTGTTGGCATTACAATTGGATATTTGCTTTGTGGATTATTTTCAGAAGTCTCTGATGGTCCAAGTGCGCCAGAACCGAATTATCTGCAGTTTATTCACGGTGATAAGAAAAATTTGGTCACCTTTTACCAGATTACAGTATTAATAGAGAAAGTGGTTTGCCAATCGCAGAGTACAGCACAAGTAGAGACTTAAATCCAGATTATGATTCGAGTTGCATATCTAAACCACCCAAGTCAGATTATCAAACTTCAAATATATGTGGATCATCGCGTTCACAATATCAATAAGAAGTTCTTTGAAAACTTAAACTTTATAAATTTTTTGTCTATTTCATATATTCTAGTATGAATGTATCGCTGTCTACTTACGGGCATCATACGCCTGTGCTGGCCCGTTGGTCATATTGTTGGTGATTTTCGAATGTCAGTTGCAGAGTAAAAACACCACGTTAAAAAGATTTCATGGTGTTGGGCTTCGCTGAGAACTGTAATAGGCGATGGAATGTACTAACTTTTTTCCTTCCAGTACAGGCAAATACAGTATTTTCATGCCTACTGATATTGATCAAGAAGGACTTGATGTGCCTGAATGATCGTTTGTGGTTCAGTATGAACTTGTTGCAACAGAAATTGGAATTGTTCAAGCGATAGCTCGTGCTGGAGCTGTAAACAGTGCTCACTATCTCGTCACACGCAAAGCTATGCTCGTGAGAAACGTGAGGGCTTCGTCTCGCTTCTGCAAGATCAAGTTTGAAAATATTCCGTAAAAAATTTCTGCGGTCGTAGCTTTAAAATTTATAGTCGTGAAAAAATGAGAATTTTCGTATTTTAATGTTTTTCGACATTCAAAATGTTGCTTTTTTTTCTTCTACTGATGAAGAAATTGTTGTTATAAGCTTTATTTAGTAAGGCGGAAAGAGGAAAAAGAATTACGTTAAAAATAAATATAAGGACAGCACAAAAAGAAAGGAGAAGTCCATGACATCATTTTGTCTGCTCATGAGGAAAAAAGTTGCCAGTATACAATAACATTAAAGGTAAACACACACACATTAGGTCTGACTGATAACAGACACTGAAAGAAGAAATTGTTCTAACCTGAAATTCCGAGCAACGCATCTTTCTTAGATTTTAGATTCAGAAATCACAAAAAGATCAATCATTTGAGAAACAATACCGAATTTCTAAAAAAAAGACAGGGCTTCAAACTCTTTGGGAAAAGCTTCCAGCTTGTGGATGAAAGATACTTTTGAAACAGCTTTTAGTAAGAAAAGGTGCAATCCTATTGAACTTTCAGCATTTCCGCTAAAGCTTTGGCTCCATCGTCGGAAATTATATTGTCCCGCAGATCAATCATTGTTAATGTTCTATTGACTTTAAGCATTTCTGCTAAAGCTTTGGCTCCATCGTCGGAAACTTCATTCCTACGTAGATCAATTGTTGTTAATGTTCTATTGACTTTAAGCATTTCTGCTAAAGCTTTGGCTCTATCGGTGGCAATTTTATTCCAATTTAGACCAATCGTTGTTAATGTTTTATTGACTTTAAGTACTTCTGCTAAAGCTTTGACTCCATCGGTGGCAATTTTGTTCCAGTTTAGACCAATCGTTGTTAATGTTGTATTGACTTTAAGCATTTCTGCTAAAGCTTTGGCTCCATCGGCAGAAAGTCCATTATCGCTTAGATCAATCGTTGTTAATGTTCTATTGACTTTAAGCATTTCCGCTAAAGCTTTGGTTCCATCGTCGGAAATTTCATTCCTACGTCCATGAATCGTTGTTAATGTTGTATTGACTTTAAGCACTTCTGCTAACGCTTTGGCTCCATCGGTGGCAATTTTATTCCAATTTAGACCAATCGTTGTTAACGTTGTATTGACTTTAAGCATTTCTGCTAAAGCTTTGGCTCCATTGGCAGAAAGTCCATTATCGCTTAGATCAATCGTTGTTAGTGTTCTATTGAGTTTAAGCATTTCTGCTAACGCTCTGGCTCCATCGGTGGCAATTTTATTCTCACGTAGATCAATCGTTGTTAATTTATGATCTGTTTCCAATAGTGCTATCATAGGCAGTATTGTTTCCGTTGTCATTTCAGTAGATCTTGCGCTGAAAATGGTGACTGTTTTATTGCACTTCGGCACTTTAGCGATGTTTTCGGTTGCGCTTCTTGTTGATATAACGTTGTCGAGAGAAAGTTTTATTTCTTTGCCGGCGAGTACTTGATTAGAACCTTCTATCTGGATATTCAGAGAAAGTTTGTCATAGTTGCTCTTTAATAAATTCTGAAGCAGCTTTACGTCGTCATCTGTGATCATTGCTCAGCAGTTTAATAGGATCTGACATTGAATGTTAGTGTAATCACATGCTGCTCTCAGTTTCCCTACTATTGTTAAAGCATCTCCTTTGCAGCCATCATAATAAATGAGCAAAGAACCTACCGCTGACAATTCGATTGTTTTAATCAAATAATCAGTATCATCTACACTCAACAATTCGGCGTGTTTTATGATCAACGCATCGATATAAAACGCCTCAAGAATCAGTTCACAGTATTGTCTCATAGTGCCACGTTTGAAGCCTATTTCCCCCTTGCTGCTTTTAATATCAAATGTGCCTCCTAATGCCTCAAACTTTTCCTTAAGTATTTTCAGCTTCTGACCATTATACAGATTTTCCGACCATAAATGCCTCTTTGTAATCAGCTTAACTTTATGTTGTAAGTGTTTACTCAGTATTTCGTAAACGGGCACAATACTATCATATTTAATTACACGCCATGATAGAACATTCGATATCGTTTCGGTCCATTTACCTGGATCGCGACTCAGTGTTGTATCACCACCGGTGGCTTCGTATACAATA